CACACACACACACACACACACACACACACACACACACACACACACGTAATAAAAACTAGTTGCTAGTTGTGGGTGGATGGCAGGCGCTCCGGTGTGGTTTGCTCCTTTCCTATCAAACATGATCTATATCGTCCTTATCTCTTCTCCTTCTTTTCGTCGCACATTACTCTCAAGAGTTACACCTCTAATTCTCGACACTTCTATGACCTAATTGTGTTACAAGTGTCGTAAAACTCTTACTGAATCTTTAAGGAAAATAAGATAAAAAGAAAAAAGGGCACCCCCCCCCCAAACAAACAGACAAACAAAAACAGAAAAAGAAGAAGCAACAGATACGCGTTCTGTCATGTCAGCAATGAGTCTGCCGGCTCAAAACCGCTGATGATCGTGTCTATAACAATGTGCTTATCTGTCACTGTGACAAGTATAAAGGGGGGGAGGGGGGTACGCCTTTGTACCAAGGAGCTTAGAACTACTGTAAACTCCTTGCTTTGTACAAAACTGTAACCTGCCTTTGCTGTGTGCGCTCTTGTCAGTTGCTCGTGTGTATATGTATATTATTTATGTATATGTATATGAGGCAGCGTGGTAAAATCTGGCGCTAGTGAAAATAATGAAGTCCGAGAAGTCGTTATTTTTAGGCCTGTGTGGACATTTTTTCGATGTTAGGTTTTTTTGGCGCAACATCTTTTATGCCCATTAAGAAACCCACTTGTGCGCTTGTTTGACTGAAAAGCCTTGATTGAAGGCACACAAGAGTAAATTGTCTTTTTCCTTGGACTCACTGGCTCTGTAAATAACCAAACTTTTGGCGCTCATATGACCTTATGCAGTTGCGAGCGCCGTAAAACCCTCCGCTATTAAAAAAAATAAAACCAAACTTTGCCAGCCATTTTCTTACGAATTTTACCTCTGAAACTAAGCGACCACCACCTCCTTCAATCGCAATCACTTCGACTTGTATTCAAGATAAATGGATATTTCGTTCGCGATCATCGAAAGCAAAGGCAAAGGAAAACGCTTTGACGGCGATACCAATAACTCCACATGGCCAAACCCTGACGAGCGCCTGCTTCCACCGTGTGTATAAATAGATGTACAATGGTGTCGTGTCTGGCACACTACAGAAGTCGAGTCTTTTGACTTTTGAGCGACGGACGACTTGCTCGTCGGCAGGAAAGGTCACAGTCGCCACTTGAAAGATAAAGAACTTTTAAAGTGGAAGTTTTGGCGGTTTGTGAAGGATCTGCTAAGACGTTTTTCTTGTCTGAACTTCTCCTTAGCGCCGCTTGCGGTCTTCCCAATGTTTTATTGTGGGCGGTTGGTGGGTGCTCTTGTGTGGTTTGATCCCCTCTTTCTTGTCAATCATCTATCGTCCTAATCTCGCCAACTTTTCTTCCCCTAGTGCTACTCTCTTGTAACCCCTATTTTCTTGGGCACTTGTATGACCTACGAGTATTTTGTGCTGCAAGGGCTGTAATACTCTTACTAAGACGACAACTAAGAATGTTTCATGCGGTGG